CATTTTGATGAAAAAAAGGAAGGTTTTTTAAAATAAATAAAAAACAATTGTCTTCCTCCCGCATACATGCACATACAAACTCAAACATTCATTGGGTGCACCTATGCACCAAAACAGCTGTTGGGTGTCACCACACACATCTGAATGAAAGCAATCATTATTTATGGTTAACTCTTCATTTATAACCAGTAAAGCTTTTTAAGGCATCACCTATGGATAATTCTGAATACCATAGTATTTCTCCATTTCTTGGTTGTATGCACATTTGAAGCTTGACATGGTTGATATCTATTTACTCAGCACAACCTCATATTTAAAACAAATGCATATTATATTGTGTATATGTGCACTAAAATTAATGTAAAGGTATTTTTTACTGAATATTTGTGTTTGATAAACAGTTGCCCTAATAGCATGCAAGATAAAAACTTGCAACTGCCACTATTTTATTCTATAGGGTGTCTAGTTTCAGAAAATGTATAATTCTGTTGGGTTTAAGTGATCTTTGGGCCTAAAATATGCATTTTAGCATGTGTTCCAAAAATTGCAAATAGGGCTCTGGCAGTGAAAGGGTTAAAACATTGTTAATGGCAATACTTATGTAAGTACTGCTGTTACCCAGAGCAACCAACCAGGTGAACAGAGATAGAAGATCCATGGTTGTTTGCCTTTTTAAACTTGAATACCAGTGACTTACATTGGCTACTTTTCAAGATGTTCCAGTAAACGTTTGTCTGTTTCAAACATCTATGTATTAATTAATTAAATTAAGGGAGTTTCCAGCTTTTAAAATATCCTACAAATGAGCAGTAAAAAACAGATTCAATAAGTAAGTCTAAATTTGCGGTTTTCAAAAAGTCCCTCCTAATTCCTGGTAAATCTGCTGTTCTTTTAAAAATAAATTTCTAAGAAAAAATATTTGACCTTGTCCTGACGTGATCTGTAGCCAAGTCTGTTGCAGAAACCTGCCAACTGGAGCATCTCATCATTTAAACAGATGTTACCAAAATGGATGAGCTATTTTATTAGACATAGTGTAATCAATCTGTAGAACAATAAAATTTAATAAATTAAATTTTGTGAGGTGGAGTCTAGCACAGTTAATCACAAATTGAATGTATAAAATTGTATAATGGTAGAAAACAGAGGTTATTAACTAGGGGTCATTTCAATTATAATTTGAAAACAAATGCAACATAGTATAATTGCCTGTTCTTGAAGAATGTTAAGAATAATTGATTTTACATTGGCACATGAACAGTGTAAATTGCATTTTAGAAATTGTGCTCTCCTTCTAACCTTCTAATAATTCAACAAAACAAGAGTGTGGCATACTGTAAATAGTAAGTGAATCTGAATATGATCCAGCATTTGATGAACATTGCTAAAACATAACTCAAAAGAAGTATTTATGTTATGTATCAATAAAGTGATAGACAAAGTTTGTTTTTATTAATAAAGGATTAGCATTGGGTACAAAAAGCTCCTGTATCACTTTACCGGGATCTTGAAAAGGAAACTTACCATTCAAAAATAGGTTTCATATAATCCACCTACCTACGAGTCCCAAACCTTTCCACCAGCTTAGAGTGGCAGAAAGGTTGAGAGCAATAAGGTGATGTGATTTTGGAGTGCATATTTTTCCCTCTGAAAAATTACCTTTAGACACGTGCAGCTCCTGCAAAGTAGTGGTTTGGCAGTGCACTTACTACTGCTATGTTTACCCTTGAAGCATGCTCCTGAACATGTGCATCCTCTGTTCTGACAACAAATATTCTTACAAAGCTGTGCTGGAAGTTGCACCGAGAGGGGGCAGCATCCAATAAGCAGAAAAGGAATCCCACACCTAAAAATATTGACTTGGCCAAAAAAACTAGATGTCCCTGGCTTCGAATCCTGGTCAGGACACTATCTGCAAACAGTTTGCATGTTCTACCTGTGCATGTGGATTTCCTTTGGGTACTCCAGTTTCCTCCCACACTTCAAATATTTGTTGAAAGGTTAATTTGCTCCCCTCTAAATTGGCCCTGTATGTGTGTGCGATAGGGACATTAGATTGTAAGCCCCTTGAGGGCAGGGAGTGATGTGAATGTGCAGTATGTAAAGTGCTGCATAAATTGTTGGTGCTATATAAAATACCTGTAATAATAATAACACTGGTCTACAAATCTTGGGAAATTAGCGACCTCCGAGATAAAATGTGTTAATTCTTACATATTTTGATTAGATGAATTAGAAAACAGGTGATAAAGGTGCTGGTTGGCTAAAGTTTTCAAGATATTTCACAATAAAGATTTATACACAGGCAAGTATATTTGCCTACAAGGGAGGGAGATGTCTGATGATCATGATGCCTCATAACCTCTCAACAAAGTACGGTAGAACAATGAAAATGGTCTCACATGGAAGTGTATAAATTTATCTTCACTTTGAGACTAAAGATTATTACCTAACTGTAATTTGTTCGTTGTAATTTCTTTTATTGCAAGGTACATTTGGCTTGGTCAGATCTATGCATCAAACAGTTACATCTGGTGGCTTGTGAAAGTGGCATTGCCTAACATTTCCAAGGAACAGTTGGGTGATATTTTCCCTCAGAAGCCAAGATGCCTCGAAATGAACAACGCAGATAACTTCTGCTACATTTGTGACGAGGTTCCATTTGCATCTCAAAAGTGCAGTATGATGGCAGTGGTAATAAAGGCATACCACCTATATTTTGGATGCAAATAGGGGATCAGGACAAGACTCACTATTGTTGCATCACATGTGCAACTTATCTGCGTCATTGGCTAAACAAGAAGAAAAGTCCATGCCTTTTGCAGTCCCAATGGTGTGGATGGAACCCGCCAATCATAGTAGCGACTGCTATTTTTGCATGGTTCCCTCAATCGCAAGAGGGATCTTAAGAAAGAAGAAGTGGACCGTGGAATATCCAAACATTCCATCCAAACTGCATCCTGTACACCCACGGTGAGGACTTGCCTATTCCAGATCCACCAGAATTCTACTCTCTAGACTCAGATGATGATAAAGACAATGAACAGGATGCAGCTGATCGATGTCAGCGGACACGATGAGAGAAGCATATTCCTTTTTTAAGGCAAATATATAGTGATTTTGTAAATTTTCTTTTTAATATTTTTTGATCTAAAAATTCAACATTTAAAAATAAAATGTATCCAGGTAAATATGAAATATTGCCTACCCTGCAGTCAGCATGTGGTGCAGCCACATCAGTTTTCCACCATCTAGGGTTAATCATTTCACCATTTGTAATAAGCTATTGTTTGATTTGAATACGCAAAGAGCTGAATGAGTAAAAGAAGGGACACACCCCTTTCCTCTCTATATGTTCTACCTTACTCTACATGAAGTTTCATTTATACAGACACAGTCAGAAAGTGAACTAGATAGTTATCTAATTAAAAAGCTATGTGTGCTCTACAAATACTCTATCATGGAAGCATTCTGCATTAAATGTCTATTTGACAAATAAAGATATTATACAAGTAATGAAAATAATATAAAACTCCAGTTTATTAAATTGTAAACATTTGAAAAAAATTGAGCAACATTCCTTACAGGTTCCCTTTAAGGAAGTTGTGATTTTAAAATGTCAGCATCATTAATGTGCTTAGCCATGTGCTATCAGGCAAAAGTATATTAGAATGCTGAAAGCACTGAGGTGCAAGCTTTGATGGATTTTACCTAATGCTTTTTTAATATATAACCAGCATATAAAATGAAAGATTTTTATGATAGATACAGTATATATCTATATATATATCTATATATATATAGATATATATATATATATCTATATATATATATATA